CACTACAAAACGGCCCACGCATGAAAAGGTCCCGCAGCGTTTTTTGCTGCGTATTGGTCCGTTTTGTAGGGCGTTTTCCATTAGTATACTGCCAAGTAGCCTTTGGAATCGCGCGACGGTCGTGCGGCTTTTTTACCGCGAATCGCGGTAAAAAACCGCGTGACACGCGCATATTACAATACGCATAGGTGTGAATGGGGCCTTACAGTGACAAAAACAGTACACGTAGTACAGAACCACTTTTCAGCTACCAATGGCCTTAGCCATAGCATAGAGGGCCTTGGCAGCGGAAACACTTTAGCTAGGTTCTGTGCTATGTGAGCTTTTTTTGTCACTTTCATAAACTTTGAAGCTTGCAGCTGTGTGCCGGACACACATTTTTCCGTATCTGTGCTGACAAACCTGTTCCAAAATGTCTATACAAAAACACCAATGAGCAATGTAAAGCAATACTTCCTCTTGAGCTCAACAGTAGCTACTATTTGGCAGGATATGTAGCCATGGGCCAGTGGAAAGTAGCCTCCCAGCAACCATTAGCATGAAAGCAGAACTCTGGGGGGGAAACAAATCTTAACCCTTGCAGTGGGGCTACCCCCGCACTGCAAGGATTAGGTACTTATTTGTGTCTAGTTTAAAAAAAAAAGTTACACTCATCTGATCCTCAAAACCGGGCACCTCTTGATCCCTTTCTCCCACTATGCTGCAGCGGTCTAAGAATCCTCAAGTCATCATGTCCTATACCATGTATAGGACGTGAGTATGCCGAGGGACATACCATTATTTTCACTTTTGTATAGAAATATGTTGAATGAATTGCTATGGCCAGAGCAAGATAGGAAAAGGGATCTGCCAGAAAAAATGTAATGCAAACGGACGGCTCTTGATCCCCGCACACTGCCCGTTTGCTTTTAATCGGAAAGCCCGCCCCTCATTGCAGTCATCGCAAGCCCGCCCCTCAGGGGGGCGCGCTTGTGATCATCGCAAGTACGATCTGCCTGTCCAAGATGGGCAGAGCGTACGTTTTTTTAAAGTACTTTACAACCCTCGCAAGACAAAAGTCTTGTGAGAGTTGTAAAGTGTATGGCCACCTTTAGAGTGGTTCCAATTTATGGAGAAGGATTGGAGCCATCCTTGGACAGCAGCCAAAATTCGATCCGTTGGTCATCCTATTCCCTTCAGTAGTCGTTCATTAGATTCACTTTTGGTGAAGGAACATGTTGGAAACTCCTAGGCCGAACTGTGCTTGCAGCCAATGAATTGCAATCACCGTTCGGGTATTCTGACAGCAGCTAGCACTGCTGTCAGGATTCAAAGCTCACAGTAGGAGATTCGTCATTCCATGCTCTTCAGAGATTCGTCATTCCATGCTCTTTTCCTTCAGCCCGCAGGTTGAAGGAAAAAAAAATAGAGTGTACACCTAAGTTTAGATGAACTGGACTAATAAATTCAGGGCCGGCTCACACCACAAACAGTGCGTTCCAGAGCGGTCAGCCTCTGGAACGCGCTGTATAGAAACCCGGACGGCTCCCTGCATTTAGAGGCAAGAGGGGGTGTGGCGGTACATTGAAGTCAATGGCACCACAGCCGCACCCCACGTTTGGGTGCAGGCAATCGCCATGTGGGCGGGGGGCTTGGCTACGGTGTAATGGATTCAATGCACCGCCACGCCCCCCCTCCCGCCCTTGAACACAGGGGACTGGCTGGGTTGCGATACAGTGCATTCCAGAGCGGTCAGCCTGTTTGTGATGTGAAATGGCCCTCAATCTGAACTTTTTAAACAGTTACAGCAACAGTTTGTTTTTTTCCTTCTGGAATGAAGATTTTACATAAATGAATAGAAGCTGATCACTGAAAGCCCCCCTGGCAGTGTTAATAGTGCAATAGTTTATCTCAACCTTCTGTCTGTCACCTTGGCTGGACAGTTTGGCCCGTTATAGGAAGTTACAAAATGACAGACATATTGGCTGAATCACCAGGTGAAAATAAAAGGAGAAAAGTCCAAAAAATTAAACGAATGCAGCCACCACATTCAAGATTGGTAAACTGCAATATATGATTTTATTTTCTTGGGTATAGGTACCGTATATACTCGAGTATAAGCCGAGATTTTCAGCCCATTTTTTTGGGTGAAAAGTGCCCCCCTCGGCTTATACTCGAGTCAGCGCCAGCGCGTCAAATAAATTACAATGAATAAGTGGGAAACAATAAAGATTATCTGGAGAAGTGCTGCTGATCCTCTTTTTGTATGGCTGTATAGTAACCATATAAAGTTATTATAACAGAGTGCAATACCTACCAACTAGATTGCATGACATTGTATGCACCAGCTGTATTCCCAGCAGACATTGGGCAGAAGATTTGCCTGTTATTCACCCATTGATTAACAAAACCCCTTTTCACCTCCACTGGTTGGTGTAGACCAATCCACTCCCATAGAGAATGGCTAAAAATGTAAACTGTATGGTAGAAGAAAGATGGCAACAATGTAAATTCATACTGTCAGAAACATAATATACTGTAAAATTACTTTATTTTGTAACCTTATAAAAAGAATTGGAGTTGCGGAACCTTTTCCAGTGAATAATCTGTATATGGAGGCAGAAATGTTTACAAATGGTCACCGCAACTTCAATGTATCACACTGCTATACAATTGTTCAATGTTTGTTATACTTTTACTTAAAGAAAAATTGGTCAGATTTTAAAACATATATGTAATAAAAGTGTAGCTATATTCAAAATATGAAAAAGGTACATCCTACTGTCCACTAGAATCGTGGTTGGCAACTCTAAACTCTGGCTCTTGACCGTTAGAAATGAAGGTTGATCTAATAACTTTGAGTCTATTGACCACACAGCCACCTCAACCAGCATGATATATCACAGGGCGGGAATTTGACCTGATCTGCAGTCCTTATGGGTATTATTGTAACACAGGTATCAAGTATATTAAAATATTATAATTTACATCTTGATACACACCCAGCCAGACACAATCGGGTATACAAAGAGAGTTCTGGTTGAACATTAAGTGGAACAATTTGGTGCGCATTAAAGGGTCAGTCCACCTAAAAAATAAATATTTATATTTTTGGTAAATTATGTATAGTCAAAACACCTAACGGTTTCCTACATCCAGTGGCAAGGGATCTGCACACTAGTTATTAGGTCTGCGCATATACTGCAAGACGGGCCCACTCTCCTTTAGATGTTGGGTTTGCAATGTGTTTTAGAAAGTCCCTTTCTCCATGTTGGGTTTTCAATGTGTTTTAGACAATCCCACTCTCCATGTTGGGTTTTCAATGTGTTTTAGACAGTCCCACTCTCCATGTTGGGTTTTCAATGTGTTTTAGACAGTCCCACTCTCCATGTTGGGTTTTCAATGTGTTTTAGACAGTCCCACT